CTGGATGGGATGTTAGTCCATGACAGGGTTACCCCCAGCATTAAATTTGCCGTTACCCATTTATACACCTTGGTGGAGAGAGGAACTTTGAGAGTAGTGTCTTGCCCAAGAACACAACACGATGTCCCCGGCCAGGGCTCGAACCCGGACCGCTCGATCCAGAGACGAGCACACTAGCCATGAGGCCACCACATCTCCCACAATTTGGCCATGTAACAGAGAAGCCATAACCAGACCAGCCTCCTTAGTAGCCATCATGTAACACAATTCTTCTTGAGACTCAGAGCAGAGAAACACACAACAATCCAAATAACAGCCAAAAGAGACTGATCCTAGACTTACGTGAGATCAACTCATTTCTTTGTGTATTCTTGGTCTTCATTTGATGTCATCACTGCCATATTTGATAACAGTTAACCAAAGATTTCTCACTGGCTTCTTTTACTTGTGTTATCCAACATGGCTGCTAGGCCTTTGTAATTCGAATCTCTCAGGATTGGTTGCAAACCATCAGTTGCTTGCATCAGTGTATGTTATTACCTACCTGTGGCAGTAGCATGAATCATTTACCTGTAAAACTATCTGCTTCTTCTTGAGTGGTTCCAGTTGTTTTGCAGGCCAGATGTCATACCAGTGTTCAGTGGAGAAAGACAAGGATGGATCATAACGGGCAAAGCTAAAAACCTTAAAATGAGGGAAAAGATCATTTCCATCAAATAAATCTCTTGACTGGATAGTTTTTGCTCAGCACAAATGACTTCAGATTGTGACTTCAAACAGTCAATCTGACCTTTAACCTTTTCAGCCATACAAATTATCTTTAATGATGTGCTTTCAATTGTTATAAATAGTGCTACATGTAGTTGGGAATATTAATATATTNTTTTTTCGTGCTTAGCAACCTCCCACGTGCATCCATAACTCAATAGTGCACGCTATGGCGTTTACCATTTGTTAATTTTGAGACAACAATGCATAAAAGTCTCGCACACTCATACACTCACTGTCTGTCATGCCTACTGGCACACAGGGCAGCAGCAGCAGTAGCAAGGTCTACATGACTCAAATTCTTTCAACTGGCTCTTTGGCCATTGGAAAGTCAATGCAAAGAGATCATTGCAAACATTTCATGGCACTGAGAATGGAATGCAAAGTGCAAGATTTATATGCCACCTTTGATAATCCTCAACACATTTAACGTTCAGCTGAATACTCTTAGCCTCCTAAACAGATTATGTTCACTCTTTGCTCTCATTCACATTAACTTCCTTCCCCTTGAACATACATTTTGCGGAGGGAGGGATCATGTGAAAAACTCAAGTAGGGTCTGCATAGGAGGCTACCAAAATCCTGATGACATATTCGACCAAGAATGCTCAGCCAAGATGGTAGGACATCAGTTATGGCCCTGTCAATTCCAAGCCTACCCATGCCCTCCATCCCTCCAGGCATTTGACAGGTTGTAGGTCCCCACTATCAAATGCCCGTCGAATGCCAGGGAGGAGGGGGTATGGACAGGCTTGGAATTGACAGAGCCATTAGATTTATTACACACCATGAGCCCAACGATGATTGAGTTCTAGCTGTTTTGACTGTACCCGAGGACTTTGCCTACATGTTCTCTTTGCCATGATTGATGAAGCTTTCATTTGATCATTCAGTTCATAATTCCAATATGCCACACCACCTGCAAGAGATGTTTCTTATTAAAAAAAAAAACCGCGTGTCTAAAGGAAAGATGGATTATAATCTGCCTGAGATAGTAGGCTTGCATTCTCCTGTCAACGTTTTCAGTACCTTTCTTTGTGGGAAGTTTAAGCTTCACTGTTGGCAGAACAACGACAGGCAACGAATAAAACCGCTCTGTGTAGTCCGTTAAAT